CTTTCATAAAAAAGTTTCTTGTCGCCAGGTGGCGCTATTTTAGTTCGACAGTGAGTTCAATGTGAACTCTACTCGACAGCACGGATTAATGATGGTTTCTGGTGTTATTTTAGCATTGACATAGTAACGATATATGAAAGCTTTATGTCAATTTAATATTGTTATTATTATCAATATTATTGCAGTGTTAAAGCTTGTATATTATTTTTAATTATTCACAATAGCTGCCCAATGTTATTTATCTTTCGCTGTAATAGCATTTACAGATGCCAACAATAATCGATAGATTTTTAAAAAAATAATATTAATAATACCTGTAATTATTTTATTAATATCATTATTATTGCTTTGGTCATCTTCCAAATTTGGAAATTCATAATAGTTGTCGATTGCTTTTTGTGTAGGCCTAAGGTTGTTTTTTTTTCTCTCCACGTGTGGCCTAATTAGGGCCTACGTTATACCTGATTATTCCGATCAATCAATCAATCAATCGATCAACCAATCAGTCTGTCAATCAATCACTCAGTCAGTCAATCAATCAATCAATCAATCAATCAATAATTCATCCATATATTTATATGTTTGCATTGTTTATTAAATCAAATCAGACCAAATTAAATTGCATTAGCCTCCCGTGGGATAGCATACACAAAAAAAAAAAAATCAATACTTATAGCGTATACACCGCGTCAAATCGCATGGAAAAATATTTATCATTTAACGTTTAAAAAATCAAAAACAGATAACGAAAGAATATCTACAGCTATAAATCTGACACTATTTTTTGTGTGATAGAAATTTAATTTCCTCATAGAAATCATTAGGGTAAATAAGATGAGGCATGTCATTAACACTTGCCATTTCCTGCAATGGTTAGGTCTTGACATTTATTTTTATTCGAACTTTTGCTCTATATTACTCCGTGCTACGAGATGTATGTATTAGACACCTTTATATTTCGTAGTTTCTTCCTTCTTGACTTCTAGACATTCAGTTTAAAACATGTGAATGACACGAAACTTTAAAAAAACCTTAAATTTTATGGGGTTTTTGTGCAATCGTTTCTGTTGTCTTGTTATTGTAGGCCTATTCTGGGGTACCAAATTAATTCCAATTCAAATCAATCTGTGTAATACACTACAACAGACTACACGCGTTTTAAAAAGAAGGCACAGCCAGAAGAGAACGATAATTGAGAAGCGATAAAATGTCTTATTACCGCTGTCATAAGCGTAGATCCCGGGGGGATGGGGATATATCCCCCCAATATTTGACAAGGGGGGATGGTCCATTGTATCATCCCCCAATATTTTGACTATGTATGGGATAAAATGGAGTTTTACACACTTAAAGACTGTCACAGAAATAATTTGCACTGCCTTATGCGCTTACAAAGATGAAAATTAGCATAATTTATTAATGTTGATAACAAAATTATTTTATCTGGTACCAATATAAGCTCTTCTTTCCCTAGATGTTAGATGTGCTTGCAAAGAAAGACACATTTCACACTCAAGGGTGTGTACGACATCAGTAATATTATGTCAATTCCAAGAATGTTTAAGGATATATCGGTTGATGAGGAATTTATTGATTAGGCCTATAATAGCAAATTGCATCAATTTATTTTGCAAAATCAAGAATTCCAGTTTCAGAGGAGGGGCACATCCCCTGTCCGCACAAGGGCACACTCCCCATATAGAAAATAATACGACATACGGTTGGGCTTATCATATTTATAATATATGCTACACACGTGTGTTTGAAACTAAATATAAGCATTTTCATCATGGTTTTATTTATTACAAACATATTCTTTCCGTCACCATCAATACATATTGAGGCCCTTCTTTTAGGTTAAAACAATCTTAAATTTGTCTTTCTTGAGTTTGGGACTATTATTAGGCCTATATGTTTAAATAACTTAAAATGATAATCCTAAAAAAGCCCTAAAAAATGCGCGCGAAGCGCGCAAAAATACTTTTGTGTTTTTAATTCTCATTTCGTTGGAATTGATGAAAACTTCCTAAAATGTGCAATTTTATAGAGGAAATTGGCCTACCGTAACAAGATGAGCAAAGAAGTTGAGAACTTTAGGCACTTTCAGTGGATGCATTTGTCAAGGGGTGGGGAAAGATTTTCCAAAGATGGATATTTTTACCTTGTCCCCCGGTGTTTTTAATTATAATTTCGTTGGAATTGATCAAAACTCCCTAAAATGTGCAATTTTAAGAGGAAATTGGCCCATGCCAACAAGAAATGCGCGCGAAGCGCGCGAAATTTGAGGTTTTTAGGCACTTTCAGGGGATGAAAAGGGCATCTATAAAGAGGTGGGAAAGATTTCTCAAAGATAGATATTTTCCCCTTGTCCCCCAGTGCTGCTATCGGGCAGCATAGATCAAAGGAGTTATGAAAGTTATTGAAGAGGAGAAGGGGTTTCAGGGTGTTGTGAGTCTGGTCATTATGATAATTATCTTCCTTTTTATTCTTGTCTTTTTTCTCATCTCTTTTTCTTTTTCTTTCCTTTTCTTTTTTTCTTCTTTCTCTTTCCCTCCCTCTCCCCTCTTTCTTTTCTCTTATTACCCAGCCCGGAACGACGGCATGGTCAGCCCGGTAAAAACCGTCAGGGGAGGGGCAGTCCCCCCTCCCCGCGCCTGTTACGACACTGGCTAACACGCCAATAATCATCCCCCCAATGAAAAAAACTTTTCTACGCCACTGACCGCTGTAGGTAAATCACTTATTGTGTTGATATCGCAAAATTACGGTTATACTGTATTCACCCTTTAGCGTTACGTGACTGCCAGACTACACTATTCGAGAATCAGATAACACATTGAAATTACTTTTCTTTCACGATGCAACTTAAAGCGGCTCTCAAACGTATTTTTTTTATCGTTATTGTCAGACGAACTTGGACCCTTAAGTTAGATGGTACGTTTAGCCATCCTCTCAGTAAAATTTGGTAAATTAGCAGAAACTCAATTGTGTTTCGGATCTGTGTGCCATTGAAAATTGATACGAATTATTCTATTAGAATAAGCTATTTAATTAATTGTTTTCAGATTCTTTTATATAGAGTACCGTATATCTTTATAAACGGACAGTGGTACGACAATTACAAGCTCTATTTTCCATTGCATGTGGTACAGTTTAAGATTCTACATGCACTCGCTAAAGGTGCTTTGAAATGGAATCCGAACTTTCGGATCGGTAAGGCCTACTGAACAAAACATCGGATAGGCTCGCTGGCGTTCAGCGCTTTGGAAAGGCGGTCCGAATTTCGGTACGGATCCCATGCGACGTGGATGCAGCTTGCGGTTGGCAGTACGCGCGTTAGCCATAGTAAAGCGAATGACGTTTAACAAAAATGGGTCGGCCTATGGGATGAAACTAATAGGCCTAGGCCTATATTTCCGCAAAAACCCAAATCAAGATGCGATCAATACACAATTTACAGTATCAGCCAATCATGATCGAGGAAAATGTCCTATCGCCTGCAGCAGATGTCCGCGCTAGACCGAAAATATTCAATTATCATCACAATGAATAATTGACGAAGGCAGGTGTAAAGAAGCGAGTAAAACACATAAGATAAGCGACAAACAACAAACAATCGGAACATAAGATGTCTTTTAGTCACAGGAACGCTTCCTATACGAGGATTGATATGTTTGCCATGAGTGGTTCGTAATGCGCGATCTATATGGTACACGACACTAATAGTCTTTTGCAAGTGAAATGTACAAAATAGATAGTTAGTGTCGCAGCTTTATCATAATCAACATGTCCATTGTTATTTGATTGAACGAAGATTTTTTTCTTTCGTCTGCTAGGATGACAATTTCCTCCAACATTTTTTTAAAAAGTTACATGAATAGTCCTGCATTGACACATATTTCAGAGCTCACGATTAAACTTCATATTTGTCTGAAGGTATATATTTCTGCCTCCTTGCACAGTTCTTTGCAGGAATGTTTTGGCAAGTCCGGATGATCTTGATATGTGTCTGTAACGCTTTAATTTTCTTTTTATTACAATGGTCAGCAGATCTTCGTATGGCCCATATATATGCATATAGGCCTATATAAATTAAGTTGCTGCTTAGCGTTGGGATCACAAATAATGTATACATCAAATAGATACTAATACACTGCTCAAATATATAGGAACGTGATATTTCTTCTTTGCCACAGTGGACGAAAAAAGTCAGTTATTCTACGACGTTTCGTAATTCTTTATCACTAAAAAATAACAAACACGCGTTTTGACGCACTCCGTTCTGTTGTGTGTGTGTGTCTGCTATTGAAAACAACCTTCCTAATTTTGTGACTGGCTATGATGACTGAGATGGACCATGTTGACTTATTAATAATATTTTGTTTGGGATGGAAAAAAGGAGTAAATTTCCCAAAAAAAATGCTCCATCAGCAAATAGGTTAGTGTGCGCTGTGGACAGTATGGCTATGGAATTTACTAACCACACAGTCCAGAATCAGGTGATTAAGTCACAAAACTTTAGCTGTATTTGGTGGATTAAGTCGCAAAACTTTAGCTTCGTTTAGTGGCGCCATTTAATCTAGGTAGACGGCGACCAGTTTCGTTACCGGTTGGTACATTCTTACAAACATTCGGGCAAAGGCCAGTCAAAGTTGAGACGGGAGCCGGGTTTTTATCGATGTTTGCCATCCTTATATGTAAGCCATCGTAAATTCATGGTTTGCCGGAGTTGCGTTCAATTTAAATCTCCGAACTTCTGAAGCTGAGATATTCTATGAATGAAGACTTGTATCGCAGGCTAGAATTTAAAAACGGGTCACCAAATAATGAATTAGGTGCTAAATTTTGATTTAATGCTGGGTAAGTTAAAAACAGACATTCCGTCCGAGTGGGACTCATTCAAAAATTTGAGGGGGTTCGCTAGAAAACAGGGGGGTTCGCTAGAAAAGGGGGGTTCGCCCGAACCATAAAAACCCCCCCTGGCTACGGGCCTGCCTTCAACGGTTTGTTCTATTCTGTTAAGCGCATTAAAAATAACAAAATGAAAGGTTATAACATTACCGTAAAATCTCAAATAGAAGCCCTAGGCTTCTTTTGTTTTGTTTTTTTCCCCAAAAAATTTTGATGGGCTTCTTTTCGAGGCTACTTTTGCAAAGTAAAGAGAGGGGGGGGGGGGCTTCGTTTTAAAATAAATGCTGTAAATTTTGTTATTTTGTTAATTACTACTATCAAAAATAAATAGGGCCACTGTAACATCACTCTGTATCATGGAGTGTATTACCTAAACTACTGCGAAAGCAAGCAGATTAATTTATTTTGTTTCTTTGAAATTCATGTACAGTGTAATTACTGTACTATCTTAAAAAGAGGCCCATACTATCTTGAGAAGAAGCCCATGGGCTCTTTTCGAGGCTACTTTTACGAACTAAAGAGGGGCCTTCAAATTAAAGATGGGCTTCTTCTTGAGATTTACAGTATTTTCATAGCTTTTCTCATTTATATGAAATGATGTAGATACATGTAGTTTTACATAGTTTCTTTTCACAGATAATGCATCAGAAATCCCACATGTTTCAAAAACCAATAATCAATAGTCCTGACTACTTCACTATAAAACGATCTTCTGCAAACCATGATGAGGTGTTCCACCTTTAGTTTGTGCCCTAACACATCACAAACATATAAAATACAATGTTATACAATAGGGATATCTAATAACACAGTTATAAAATACAAATGTTATAGCAACTATACTTCAAATCCAAGGGGTTCACTGATTTGCTTGACATAGTATGAAACAAACTTTGTAAAAAGTGATAAAAGACATTGTTGAATTGACAATGTCTTGTATCACTTTGAAACAACAATAGCTTCTATCACTTTCTTCAGAGCTCATGCCATTAATTTAAAAACATTAATTATAAAAAAAATCCCTTTTAAAATGGAGGAAATAAAACGCACTGCTTTGTAATTAAAGAAGACCCCTTCCTTGAGTTTGTCAAATCAGTTGTGTTTGTTTCTCCTCACAATAGTGCTACTATAGCCCCTAGTAGTAGGCCACACCTGAAGGAAGCCTGAACAAATATGTACCCACCTTTCTATGAATAGTATGTGTATGGCCTAGATAAGCCTAACCCACCTTCAGGCTAAATGTATCTGTATAGACACAAAAACATGTTTCCTATGCATGCTTTAGAATTCCACAACATTGCAACTCGTTGATCAAATATATAAAACATTACTTGCATCTTTGATTACAAAACTCAATTATTTTCATATTCAAATTATATTTCTTGTTGATTACAAAGCCATTATTTTTAAAACGTCTAGAAAAAGTTATGCAAATTTAAATGTGATTAACAGCTCATCTTGAACTAAACCTGGAATCATCTGCATCATCGGTCATTTCACAGTTGACAATAGCAACCACCTGCCTCGTCAAACTGGTTTCGTTAAAATGCGTCAGCACTTTCTCAAATTCACATTCTGTTTTTAACAAAAATAGTATATATAATTAACGTTACATGAATCCAATGAATATAAAAAGAAAATAGAAATAAGATAAGGTGACACAATGGTAGAGTACTGCCACCAAAGTGATATTAGAGTGCAGCTGTACCTTGGTGGTTAAGATGCTTATACTGTATTTCAATTATGGGATCCAGCATTCAAATTGTGTGTGACGCAAAAATATTTTCTCAATACTAAAAACAACCCCCTACCTAGGCCACATAAATAGAACATCTGCAATTTGTGAGTGTACTTTTGGAAGTGAAATAAATTAAATTCTAATTTAGTCCCATTTCACTGTGGTTGAACTATATGTATTTATTTTAAAAAGTATATAAAGAAAAATAAAATGGTGGTACTGTAGTAATGTGGTTGAATTGAGAGTTAGTTCTTACTACAGCATGATTATTAACAGTAGGATGTAGGGGAAAAGAATATTAAAGTACATACACCTCGTTCTATTTACAATTTCAATTATAACTAAATTGCATGTAGAGGTCTTTACATTTAAAAAGTATATAAAGAAAAATAAAATGCATGTAGAGGTCTTTACATTTAAAAAGTATATAAAGAAAAATAAAATGGTGGTACTGTAGTAATGTGGTTGAATTGAGAGTTAGTTCTTACTACAGCAAGATTATTAACAGTAGGATGTAGGGGAAAAAGAATATTAAAGTACAAACACCTCGTTCTATTTACAATTTCAATTATAACTATATTGCATGTAGAGGTCTTTACATTTAGGCTATATAAATTCACAACTATTATTATTTAAATATGTTGGTTGATAAAAAAAAACAAGGATAGGGCCTACTGTTAACACCAACATCACTAACCATGATAATCCTCTAACTGAGCAGTTTGATACAAAGTGTATGTTTGACATATTACCATTATTAGCATCCCTCTTTATTAAAGGCCTGCCTTAGAAACCTGAAATTTAATTTTTGTGACCCTTCTGGAAATAAATTCCGCATATAGTGGGTTATTCCAGATATCAAAACATTTGACTCTGCCTTTCTTGGCTCTGTTTCTTCTTTTTCATTTGTTTTTGATAGGAAATAAATGAAACCAAATCACAAATACTGCCCTGAAAACTTATTAACTTAAACTGTAAGCATGTAATCTGCTCAGAATATGTTAGATGTTTGGTCGACTTACCATAAAGTCTTGACATTGGTAGAATTTGAAGTACGGCTTGGTCTGGCTCAATGGCCGATAACATGGTTTCATGAATATTTTCAAGAATATTTTCAAGATACTACGGAAAAAGCAATTATTAGCCAGTCAAAATTCTCTGTGGAACATTCAAACCTTTGGATTATTCAGAGTATTGTCATAGGAGTATTTTTAATACAGTAGGCCTAAAGCTCAGTTCCGATTATTTCTTCGACAAAAAACTGATGTATGCCCATATATAGTCATGATGTGCCTATATATGGTCATGATGTAATGTCATCATGACCATATTTAGGCATAATAGTCTGGACAGGGCTTAATACAATCTAAATTTGATTGTTTTTCCGAAGTTTACTTAACAAAATTTGTACGTTAAATACAAAATATTTCATGAATTGTAGGATAATTTAAGATTAATTAAACAATATTAAATAAAATCAAATACATTCTATACATACGGTGATAAGATTTCCATGGCAACCATTGTATGATTGACAAATCAGCAAGCAGGTAGAGTTGAGTCCAGATTTTGTGGACAAATCACATAAATAAACCTGACAAACAGAAGAAGGTAATAATTATTTAATCATTAGGAATATACAATTTGTATTATCTAAAGTAAAGTAGGGTTTGGAACCAGTTAGTATTTCATCTGAGCCTACTGTCGTACAATAGGGGGCGCTTTTGAAAAAAAATATTTAAACATTCAAAAGTGATGTGATATTGCTAGTCAATGATTTAACTTGTCACAGCCAACTATTGGAGCCGACTTAAAATAGACTGATTTATCCAGGTAAGTATACCAAAAATATAGCCTTTGAATTGAAATTGTATCAGAAACTTACAGTGTTAATAACGCTATACGAAATATACATTATTCACTTTGTTTAAATAAAAAAAAAGTCTTTCACTGTCATTTCTGGATTGAATTGTATCACAATTTGTTCTTAAAAGGATTGAGGCGGCAACATAGCACTTCAGAATCGAAATGAAAGTTCCTATATAAATAGTCATTAACATTAACTCCATGATTTAATCAATTCATACGTTCAACAATTAAGTATACACAAAATAAACCTTTCAATTGAAATTTTATCAGAACTTACAGTTCTAAAAGCTTTATACAAAATATACAACAACCCAGCATTGAACCTGGTGAGGAGATTGTGAACTTGCAGAATGACACAGCCACCAATGCTGAGAGACTGAAAAAGGAAATACAGGATATTACAGTATTATAAAAATACTAACATTGAACATAAAAATTAAAGTCCAATTAAAATATATTGAACCTCTCAATCACACAGCATGACAGTTGATTTGCCGAACAGTTAAACAAGGGAACCGTGAAGTACAGCCATAATATCGGCACTGGTTCTCGGATAAGGAGCGTATAAGTCCATTGTACACAATTGGCTCGTGTGCAAGAACCCAGTACATCCTTTGAGAAGAGTAGGAGGTTACCCGGTGTACTGGTCCATTTCAGCCCCCTATCCAGACACAGAAGAAGCGTTTACGTCACAGTCCATGTCAGGTATCCTGCCTGCGAATCCTTCTACCACACTACGAAAGCAAGATCATACACACTAGCTACGTAGTGACTCGAGAAGAAGATCACACAGCAAAAAGAATAATAAATTGGGACTTGCAAGTTGTGTACAACTGTTCAGCGCTGCATGCTTAAACATCTATTATTTTCTCATCCCCACTGAATGAACATAGAATGTGAACACAAATATTTCAAGAGATAAAAACATAGAATGAATGAATACAATTATAAGTTCATGAGGTGAGACATTACCTTAAGTGCTGTCAGGATACTGCTAAGCAGTTCACCCTTGGTTGATTCATAAGTGTTTTGGGACTGGAGGCCAGCAAAACTGCACACTACATGGACCCTGGGTCTATAGAGTGTGCAGGAGACAGGTTATTAGGATATCTTATCTTAATGTAAGTAAACAGTAAGTTAGAGACATAGCTATTAGCACATGTATTATAATAATAATAATAATAATAATAATAATAATAATAATAATAATAATTATATTAATGCTTGAGGTACACCATGTATATAGTTCTGAAAAGAATTGTTGTTGTTGGTTCAGATTAGCTTGACGTTTCGATTGAGTTGTTTCAATCATCAATCATCTTCAGGAGAATATTATCTGCAGAATTTTCAAAACAGGGTAATACTTATGTTTTGGGTAGACTTGCTGCTGATATAATATAAAATATAAGTCAATCATGATGTCATCACTGCAACTCCCAATGATATTTTCCTATCACCAACTGTGCACTAATTTTTCATTAGTGCACATTAGTTTGCTTGATTCTTTTTAGGTTCGTATGCAAAAGGCCAATTCAATTGCAGTGTCGCATACCACAATGAATTCTTAGCTAGTGTTTATACACCTAGAACTACGACGTGTGTCTGCGGAAAGACGGCTCAGACAAAGACAAAGGGAATGAACATTATACATACTGATAATCTTCTTGTGGTTGCTTCAAATCATTGTTACCATCATCATCCTCAGCCCTCTCCTCTTCATCCTCCATCTCTTTAACTTCAGAATCTGAAACCTAGATATAAACAAAACTCGTTTCACATTTGGTTTGGTTTATTCTTTATTAACACTTCATTATAAAATAAAGCAACATGTTAACGCTTGGGGCTTTCAACTAAAGCTCTGTCCACCCTATCAAATTTTATGTGACAAATAACAGTGACATGCCCATATTTGGGTGCAATATGACATCATTATGCCCATATATGGGCACATCACACAAATTTGTCACATAAACTTAGTGTGATAGTGTGGACAACGCTTACTGTTAAAACTCTAAATATTGTAAATTGGTAAGTTAAATATTATTTTTTGTAGTATATTGAGACTAAAAATTACCAACTGCAACAGTAGTAGTAGTAACCTTGCTTCTCCGAAGGAGAAGTGAAGGGTATTTATTGCATATAGTGTGCATCTGTGTCTTTCCAGGTGCATAACTAAAAAAAAACTGGACCGATTTACTTCAAATCTCCACACATTGACAATGTTAGATGTATTTCATTCCTCCCCAAAATTAGTGCTGATTGCAAGCAAGATGCAGATTTCAGAATGTTATTCATATATTTTGCGGATAGAGCCAACTCGAGTGGATCGTTTGGCCTCGCTTGGCTAGGTTGAGCCAACTCGAGCAGATCGACTGTAGGCCAGAGTAAGGGATGTGTCAAATTCTGGCCGGCAGACTGGAAGCGGTTCGGCCTATCATGCTAGGCCTCGTTTTGCTAGGTCAAGACATCTAGAGTGGATCGACTGCAGGCCATTATTTTTTCAGTACATAGATATGGCACAACAGGGCGAGGGTTTGTAATCTCTGAATACCTTGTTTGCTTTTCAACTCATTTCATAATTAGTAAGGATATTGGCCACAAAATTTAAACAAAGTATAACTTGTGTTATATTTATAACACTACTATGTACTTTTATCATAATTATTGTTGTTATTTTGCTGCATGTACAACAACAATGTATCTCAGTGTCTTGTTTTGCTGATGACAATAAACACATCTTGTATTTTATATTGTTCTTACCAAGATACAGCCATTGTCCTTCAATATGTTCACGATAGGCCTCATTTCTGAAGCAGCTGATAATAACTTGTATTTCAATGGTGAATCTTTGGAAATCTAAAGTAGAAAAAAAACATGTATTATTGGTTGTAAAATATATCAAAGCTATCGAGGCTTGGCAATTTTGTTTGGGGTTTTCTTTGGCACTAAAAATCATTGGCAAGCCAGATTTAAATAATTTACCCTGCCAACAACAATACTACAGCATGTTCACCCCAGTGAATAAGCAATGTTGGGCTTGATTATTGATTTACAGAACCCAGAAAATTCTTTAATAAACGTAAGGGGTTACCTCGGAAAAATGGTCTATCCAGACAATAGAAAGTGCCTACCAAAAGCTACCATCACAAAGTGACCATTAGAAAAAAAGTCGTTGGGTTTATCCGATCAGTTAAACTACATAATGTAACCTACGTTTACATAATACAATAATGTTGTACACAGGAAATATGTATAACTGGAAAAAATATATGTAAAATCAAAGAGAATAAGCAGAAGATGTACCCATGGAAGACTTTTCAACGATGACTTTATGTGAGACTCAATCTCTGGTGTAACTACAAGATCTTCAGAAGTTCCTGGCTCTGTTACCTGTGAATTAAAAAAGATAAATGTTTTTCTTTTTTTTTAAAGATTAAATATATTTAATGAGTATAAAACTATTTCAATTCATAAGCTTCCAACAAATACTTGATTATAACTTTCATTATTGTTAAAACAAATATCATTGTAAAAACCTAACCAAAGTTATCAGCGCTCTTTCTCAAGGTTGAATGACTCTAGAGTTTCAGCATTTTTAATGTGGTCAATCCAACCACCGTTTTACTACAGCCTCTTTTTGAGGCTTCTGTATTATACAGGTCAACCTGTGTTAATTCTGGAAAAATTTGCATTTCCCATTTACATCGAACAAAATAGTATGGGTTGATCCCGAGCTGAATCCATTTTACACCGGCAACGAACGTGGGTTCAAATACCACCCTAAATTTCTGTTGAAATGGTCATCATCACTTTGCTCGAGTTCCTTGTGTCGAGATGGAGTTGCAGCTATTGTCAATATTGAAAAAATGTATCTGCAGATATTTTTTTTAATTATGCAAATTAAGTCAGCAATTTTGTTATCAAGTCTATACGGAAGTGCAGGAGGTTTAATTTAAAAATTGTCTCCGTTGCCAGCAAAGGTTAGGCCTACCTGACCACAGCTGCGGTAGGTGCCAGGTATAATCCGGAATCAAATTGGCAACCCAAGAAATATTTGTTGCTGTTTACACTAACCACAACTCCGGAGTTTCTGGGCCGGGTATTGGAAAATCCCAGGCTGTGTCCAGAGTTTTTTTTTTGCAGTGTAAAAGGGGTATTTAGAGAGGATTCTGATATAATGCAACTTCTTTGTTTCGATGTTTCAATCCCACAGTTCTACGTAAAGACCTATTAGCAACTTATTAAACCACACCCTAACAGATTCCCTACAGTTACTGTACCTTGGAATTGGCATGTGCCTCTATCCAGTGTCCTACCACAAGACATGAACAAAATGGAGAGTTTAAAAGCTGTTGGACCTTTTTTCCAAGTGTTGGCTTCCAACCATCAACATCCTTCTCACTTAATTTACTAGTATTCTAAAAATTTAAGATGAAAGTACAATATGAATATTCTTCTTTCTCATATTCCCCTCTTCCTTCCTGGTTTGTGCTTCTTAGATGTAATGAATAGTGATTAACTATGGCTATGTTCTCACACAGCTGCTAATGTTAGCAGGATCCGGATCCTGCTAACCGTTAGTTGCCATGCGTCCGAGGAAATCCCGATACCAAAAATATGATGATTGAATCACTGGCCATTAAGAAACTGGAAATTGTAAACGCGTACATGTGATTAGTTGATGATAGAAACATGCTCAACTTGCTAACCGTTAGCGGTATCCGGATACCGCTAACGGTTAGCGCTAACCGATCGGGCATTCTCACGCAGGTGCTAACGGTTAGCTCCTGATCCGGATACTAGGGCTCTCGTGGGAACCAGGCTTCTGTTGTAATACAAATTTCTACTCTTCATAAAAGAGCAGCACCATTCATTTGGGTTAACTCATGGTGTCATTCTGGGTGAGTGGAAATCATCAAGTTCATGGTTTCAACCAAGAAAATACTATATTTATCCTCACAACAATAATGAAACAAAGATTGTTTTAAATTATATATTAGAACAAACACATCATAGCTTTGTTTAAAAAATAAATTGTCTAGCAAAATAACATAAACATTAAAAAAAAAAAAATTGTTGTAAAGTGCCAGAAAACTTCAATTCATTTAAATTTCAGAATGGACACCAAGATTTAATTCTTCTTAATAAAAAATTAGAGTGTGGTAAAGTATTATAGAAAGCTGAGGCCAACTGTTCTATATATATTTTAGTAGTGTTCACACTTTAAAAAGAATTAATAGTTTGGTTAAACTAGGTAAGTATAATTATATTAAGGGTAAAACTGTATTTATTATTTTCCAAGCTTGTTTTGCAATGTTGATTCTAATACACAGGACAGTTTCATTTTTTATTAAAACCATATTGTGATTGATCTACCGGGTGAAGCAGCTCAAAAGGGACCATGACTGTTTACCTCAAGTACTGAAACTGTGGGCTCATACAAAAGCTTTTCTTCTAATGCAGAAATCTCCTGTTTCATTCCCAGAATTCTCTGGTGCCATGACAACTGCTGCTTCTGCACACGCTCATTGAATGTTCCATGGAGTCGCTGCTCCAGTGTCTTACAGTACATACCTGGTTTGAAACCCGAGTTCTGCTTAATGTAAAAAAAGTATTATGGTAACACAGGGACTAGTGAGTGGAAGATTGGTCTGTCAGTGGTTATCAAAAGAAGATTTTCAAGTTTGGTGGTGGACTTAAAATTTGCATCCTTGGTGGGACACTTTATCTACATTTATCTCGCTCCACCTATAAATGTAAAAGGGTACTGTTAGAATGTGAATGATTTTAGGACTCATGAAATTGGTTTAGCGTTGAATTTAAAATCAACAGAATCATTTCCTTTTTTTTCTTCTTTTTCCTATATAGTAATGTGCCATAGTTTTTTCTGTGCGATAAAATGTTTTTTTCCATGTTAGATAATTAAATTCAATACACGAATCTTCCTTGTTGTAAATACTTGTACTGTTTTGCATTTACATATTGTATTTGTGAATTTTGTTATTTATTTGTACTTGTAAATTTTTGTACTTCATTTCACTTTTAATATTAATTGAAAGTGTATTCAATTTATCAAGGCTATTGATTTCTGTACACTCAACATAGAAAGAAATAAAGTAGTAATTGACCCATAGACATAAAGAATACACATACAAAAATTATATTAATAATTTACAATTTACCGATATATTATTTTTCAACATTTTGTGTTTTCTTTGGATAATCTGTATCCGACATTTCTCGACAAACATCTCGGTGCAGCAATCTCTTATATCCTCCGCATGCTGGCAATCCTCTTCCGTCATGTTGTTGAACAAACGTAGGTTGTTTTGAATTGCCTCCATTTGGCGAGATTTAAAGAAGTTACAACACTCTGTTAGTTTGCTGAGAAATGAAGGTGGTAAAGATGGAAACATTGGACTGTCTGCAGGGGTAGGACCTATGAAGGAAGATGAAATCATAATAATGATTATGACCTTTATCATTTTTTGAATGATTTCTCTCATTTCATATCCAACTGCAAGTACATGTTGCCATTTAATGGATTAAATAACATGGATTTGCCATCAACATGAATCCTTTGCAGAATTTTAATCCAGGACTATGTTATTGAAAAAAATATCCCAATCACTGAGCAACAGTTCGATAACAACCAATAATACTGATAAAAGATTATAACAAAAATATCACCATAACAGGTTACATTCTAGTTGAGCAAAATAACGTTGTTATTTGTAGTACGGTATATATTTTTACATGGCTCTGGATATGTTTTACAACTGATTTTTCTAAAGCCAGGCACCTCACTGCTCCAGGCGGTCGTCAGCTGAAGAACGCAATGACACAATCATGCGCATGGGATTGATTTTTAATGACGATTCGTTCAAACTGCCACCTACAATCAGCATATGGTGTCATGGCGTCTAGCGCTCACAGGGAGCGGAGTTGGGGGGTGGATCATAGTGCGACGCAGTGAATGAAAGCCTTAAGGGCATTTCATGAAAATCTTTGCGCCAGTTAATGAGATACAGATTTTTGTAATGTAATGCACTTGAAGGCAATGTGCAAAATATGCTAAATGGTGCCAAAATTATTATTAAATATTATTAATTCCACAGAGACCTTTTCCGGAGTGTCAATCAAACTTAACAACTGCCCAATCAGGACAGGGCCAGGAATATATCCTACAAACACATGTGTTGTCTCACAAACAGGAAAAAAGATGTTGTAATGTATCAAATAGAAAAGTAAAGCTTTAGAACTGCAATTTTCGAACATTATAGAAGTATTCTCCTTGGGAAAATGAAATATTTTTGCAAAAAAAAAAAGAAAAAAGAAAAAAGAAAAAAAACCCAATTTTTTGACCTTATTGATTCCTAAATTGATAAATGGATAAATAAAAATGCTTACCGAATGCTTGTAAGAGTACAGGGAAGTATTGGTCCAGCCTATTTCTTCCCTTGTAATTTAAACAGATCACATACACCTCTGAATTTCCAGCTTTGCTTGTTGATGGTTTGAACACATGCACCTTGGAAAAGGGAAAAAAATACCACATGTTTAAAACAAAAAAGACGCTCAATGTCTTCTTTATTCTTTAGGTCTACTTGTTTTGTCTACCTGAACCATTGGATATTATTTTATATGAATACAAAGATAGAAATAATACAAATTTAATGCATCAAGGAATCATCCTAATCCTATGCATTGCAATAGCCTGCTGCTAAACTTGGATGGGGCAATGAGCTTGCAATGCCATTAGGCCTACAAATATGTTTGAGAGCATCTAAAACGTCACAAACACAAATGAGATTTGTAATAATATATATAATAATGAATAAAACTTGGGGAGATATTGAATGGCTTGGTGGTTAAGATGCTTGCCTTCCAATCCTAAAGTCCTCCTGGGTTCAATTTCTGTCACGGCAACAGGGGTTTTTTCCACATGATCAAAAATAACTCCCCTACCTAAGCCTCATAATGAGACTTAGTCTATGAAGAGCATCTTGTGTATGTTTGCCTTGTGAAGGGATGCCACTTAGAAAAGTGATGGCGTGTATTTCAATACTTGGAGTATGTATTATACTTTCTTATCTGAGATTAATCAGTGGACCTTTCAGTTAAAAGTGATTAAGGTCACTGTTTTGCATATCCTTGTACTTGGGCCTAAAACAATAAATAAATAAATAATAAATAATTGAGTATGCTAAATCAGCTCTAAAAGTATTTAAAATTCTTCTTTAATTCATACCTCCTCAAAGCTGCAGTTCAATAAGAACATCATGTTAGCTGTAGATATCTCAAACATGGTGAACATCTTGATCACAAACGAACCACCCTCAGCAAGAAGATAGAGGGCAGTAATCATCTCACAGTAATGGAGCTGGGAAACAAACGTTTCTTGTTCACCAGGATCATTCTGACAATTGATGCTACCATCAGCTGTCACCTATATACAAATAATAATTTTTATCATTACAACTTTTGATTTAATAAAATTTTTATTTTTTAAAATTATTTTGTAATCAGAAGTCAGTAAATCTGCAGAAACAATTTTTTTTTTTCGTGGAAGTTGAAACTTATAAATGACCAAACATTAGAAAATTTTATTGTGCCATTAAGTCCTATTTTAGTTTTAAATAGAATAGTTAGTTATTGACAATTTTAGACTTTTTTTAGACTAGTGTGTCATTCAGCATGGCTGATCATTTTCTGACCCTAAAAAAAAATAAAAAATACATAATTAAAATATAAGGTATCAAGAAATCTATCAGTAATGAAAAATGATAAATTAAAAAAATTGATTAATAAATCTATTTGATTGGATTTATTCGGTGTGAGCACAAAGAACAACTAACGAAAGTCAAAGACGTATTTCCAGTGGGGTCCTTCACCTTCAGATGGTGACTGGGCAGTACAACAGGAGACAATACCCTGCTTTTTCCCGAAGTGTTTTTTTAACGATGTGCACATGTCACATGCCACAATAATGTAAATGAGGCCAACAACTTAAAGGCTCATCAAAACAAAGGGTTTTTTAACAGTTGCATTTCTGCCCTCCAGCTGAAACAAAAGGAAAGCAAAGAATGGAATGGGATACTAAATGTTAACAATTTGGATCTCTATTTCCACGATTCAGCGAACATACATTCGCTACCACCACTTTTTAGCTGACTGAATTATGCTGCTGTCTAATTATTTAGAAACTCACCAAATGTATTTCTTCCATTCCTTTTAACTGGGCATGAGTATGTAAACCCTCCAAATTCTCCCGACTCATCAAATCTCCACTATCATCCACACCGAAGAACCAGTTTGGCCTCGTTTCCTGTATAAACCGATCATCGGCTATCATGTTATTCAGACTGTTACCCTCATAGTACGGATTTAAAGTCGCGCCAATCCACCTCCACTGTAGATACGTATAGTCCGCACGACTTTTACAAAAATGATTGAGGCTTGTGATGAAGGCGCCGGGTGCTTCGCAGAGATGGACAGAGTTGAGTGTTCCTGAAGTTTGAGCTGTGGTTGGGATTATCGGGTAGAACGTCAAGATCTCATGGAACTTGCACCAGGCCTGGGTGCAGAGTTCTACACAGTAATGCCATCGTAGGTGCTGAATCGTTTTGCCGCCACAGTGCAAGGACGTGGTATGTGAGTGCCATTGCCGAATTTCTTTATCACTGAGAGAATTCTTTACATCATTGAGTTCAATTTTCATCTGATGTAAATCACTCTTTATATCCTGAATGGGAGAGCATTGAAATTTCATTAATTTAATTAACAGTTAGCAGAACATCAAGATCTCATGGAACTTGAACCAGGCCTGCGTGCAGAGTTCTACACAGTAATGCTGTCCCCTCCCCTTTTCAGCAAAAACGCTTCCTCTCAGAAAATACATTCTTCCTACCGGATCACAGGTCTTTGATTGCCATTTTCTTCCTCCCGCTCCAACCACTTGGCAAAAAAATCCTGCCTCTAAAAAACCCCCTCCCAATGTTAAAATGGTTAAAATTATAAATAAATACCATATTTATTTGAATAAACACTCTGGGCATACATGTGTATTGTAGAGAAGGGTTTTTGAGGAGGCATTTATTCGAGACAGGTGTTTATTTTTTTTTGTTTAAAATGGATACGTATAACTCAAACGTAATGCCCCTTAATTTCACTGTGAATGTGGAACTACAACACATAATTACCGCTAAAATATGTTATTGCATAATCATAAAGATCATAATTCAGCTTCCATTA